GGGGGGGGTGCTTCCCACAAAATACCAAGCAATTCTCGGACACCAGCAGGATAGCCAAGAATTTTACTCAATTCAACATAATGTTGATACTGCCTACTTGGATTTTGAGTCAGATTCCACAGGTTAAGGATTCAGTCCTACACCACCAATCCCCTTTACTTCAGATCCCAGCTGAAAGCCCAGGCCATTAACTGTACCAATTGCCTATAGATTAGAGGTCCCAATGACCCCCTCCTTGGCAACTCATTTCAGACACCAGTCTCAAGTCCAGATTGTTACCTGTGCCTCTGATTGGCTGGCTGGGTTCCAGTGGTAAACAAAAAAACTTTTAACTTCCGCCCTGGCCAGCGTGGCTCAGTTGATAGGAATCACCCTGAGCACAGAAATGTTGTTGGTTGGTTTCCAGGTCATGGCACATGCCCAGGTTGCAGGCTAGGTCCCCAATCCCCAGTAGGGGGCGTGCAGGAGACAGCCCACAATGTTGCTCTCTCCCCCCCCCCTCTAAAAATCAATAAAAAATCTTTTTTTTAAAAACTTTTAACTTCCACAGCTGAGTTTTTTAAAAGAAAGGGCTTATTAGGCATTGCTAGCAAAAAAGAAGACTGGTTCTTAGGGCATGAATTCTAAACCACTGCATGGCTAGGTAGAAGAGATAACATGTCTGACTTCCAGTTTTGCAAGTGTTTTTATACATCATGTATGGGGGAGAAAACTGTAAGCCATTCTGAAAGAATTTGCATTAGCTGTAGACAAAGGGGATGGGGGAAGGTGAGGCAGGGCTAGTTCTGGGATGGGTGCAACATAGTCCGTAAAGCTCATGTGCAAATAAGAAGCAGAGGCTCCTGGGGTTCAATGGTGCCCCGCTATTCTCTCTCGGGTGATCACAGAAATAGCTACCTGGAAAGTAATCCTAAATTCCAACAGATATACAAGAATGGGAGCAGTCTTTTGTCATACAGCAATTCACAGGCTAACTGTTCTGTCTCTTTCTCTCACTCTCTGGTGCTATAGTTTTAATTTAGAACATCTCACAATTTTTTCTCTTGTCAACAGCGACCCCCTCCTTGAATTCAATTAATTTGCTAGAGGTTCACAGAACTCGGAGAAACATGTTACTTACTAGATCACCAGTTTATTATAAAAAGACTCAAGAGCTCTGGCCAGGTAGCTCGGTTGGTTAAAGCATCATTCTGATATACCAAGGTTATGGGCTCTGTGCCCAATTGGCACATGCAAGAATCAACCAATGAATGCATAAATAAGTGGAGCAACAAACTGATGTTTCTTTCGCACTCTCTCTCCCTCTCTCTCATCAATACAAAAAATTTAAATAAATTTTAAAAATAAAAATAAAAAGACTCAGGAACATCCAGATGGAAAAGATGCACAAGGCAAGGCATGGGGAAAGGGCCCAGAGCTCCCATTCCCTCTCCCCAAATCTCCACATGCTTACCAATCGGGAAACTCTCTGAACCCTGTCCTTTGGGGTTTTTACAAAGGCTTCATTACACAGGCATGATTTGCTAAATCGTTGGCAACTGATTCAACTTTCAGCCTCTCTCGCCCCAACCTTCATTTAGTTGACTCCATTGGCAACCAGCCCCCATCCATAAGTGCTTTCCAAAAGTCACTTCATGAAATAACAGAAGACAATTTTTTCACTCTCAACACTTAGGAATTTCTAAGGTTTTCGGGAGCTGTGAGCCAAGAATTGTGGAAGAAGACCAAATATATACAAGAAATAGATTTAGGTGATCTGAATGACCAAGTATATATTTCTTATAAATCACAATATTGCAGCAGTTTTATGAGCATCACAGCCCAGTTCCCCTTCTTGCTCTTTATCATCTTTAGCACATCACCTCCTGACAAGATGGCTCCTTGAGCTCCAACCATTTCCCCAGCCTTACAGCCCCAGGAAGGAGGAAAGAAGAGAAGCCACACCCCTTTCCTATAAGGACACTTTCTCAAAGTGCACCTAACATTTCTGATTGCATCCCATTGGCTGGAATTTAGTCACCCCTGGCCACACCTGGCCAGGGAGAGAGAGAGGCTAGGAAATCGTCTTTATTCCAGACAGCCGGGCCCAGCTAAAAGTCAGGAGTTTTATAAATAAAGACGAAGAGGAGATTTGATACTAGGAAAAACAACTAGAAGTTTTTAAAAATGCAAATGAGCTAGATAACTTTGTCAATAATGTTAGTAAAGTTATTGTATTAGTTTTCTATTGCTCTGTAACAAATTGCCACAAAACACAACCCCCATTTATCTCACAGTTTCTGTAGGTCAGAAGTCCAGCAGGGCATGACGGAATTCTCTGCTCAGAGTTTCATAAAGTCAAAAGCAAGGTGTAGGCAGGACCGCCTCTCTTACTGAAGTGGGAGAATCTATTTCCAAGCTCATTCAGAATTCAGTTCCTTATGATTGAAGGAGAGCAGAGTTTGCAACCCCAAAATATGCCTGTTTGGGATATTGATTATTTTAGGCTGGTTAATTTTAAGAACTAGCAGACTTTGGAGAAGCTCTGAAAATCAAGTAGAAGTTACCCACTGTAAAGGACATTTGTAAGGGACATCTCCATCTTTATCTCACTGTACCAAGCCTACCTTCATTATCAATGGAGAAGGTCCTGGACTGAAATCTGTAGGACAACCTTACCCTTATTCACTGTGCTTTTTCTGGTCACCTTTCATAACTGACTCTCCGTGGCC